GTATAAGAGACAGGTGCAATGACGGTAAGATTTAGGAGGTAACTAGGTCACACAGAGTTATATGCGCATGTGGACTTCTTGATTTATCGCTAGAAATGGCTGAAAACATACACTTTGCAGGGAACTCAAGAATCCCTTCAATGATCATGTTATAAATTGTAACTACAGTCTTAATTAATGCCATATTTGTTTGTTGTCCAGTGGCATATCTAGGAGTCTGGAAATGGAGGATGGGGGTGGGGGACAAACACAAAAGTGAAGCTGGGGTTGATATGAGGTGATTTTTATCTACTGTTTTTCTTGCTTCAAACATTTTCAATGGGGGAGGTGCAGGTCTTTTAGGGGGAGTGCGCCCCCGCATACCGCTATATTATGCAACTGTTGTCGTCTCATTTTATTATCAGAATGGCCGTTTGTTTATTTTATTTTATTTTATTTTTTTTGTTCTAATGGCATTCATGATCTGAATACTGTCAGTGCCTTGAGACAATTCTATTGCATAATACCATTACTCTTCATATTTATTCCTCAAAGAAACTTGGGATGTAAGAGCAAAATTACTCAAAGTGAAAATGCCACTGGAAAATAATTCTATTTACTATTTTTGGTTTGTTTACTGACCACTTTTCACTGCTGTTGGTTTTATAATGCAGCAAGTACAATGGTTCAGCTTAGCCGTGTTCTTTCTTGCTGAACGGAAGAAGAAATCAGTCTCTCTTTCTGCAGACCCCGGAGAATCTGATCCGTGGCAGGCATTTCGAGTCTTATCTGAAATAAATTAAAATGGCGAGTTAAGCATGATTACCTTTTATAAAATTACACCATAGCATGATTATCCTATTCGCAATGTATTATTATACAACACTTGTATATATTCTATTAATTTGATTGGTTGAAAACAGGTCACGCAAGATTGATTTAAAATGGATATTCAAGATTGTAGTACTTTTTCATCTCCAAGATTACAAAAATCTCAAATGCAATGCGAGTGAGAAAAACTAGTTTTGCCCAAGGACACAATCAGCATGGTCAGCATCAGTTTTGAACCCTAGATTTTCTGATTAAAAGCCCAACACCTTACACGCAGCACCACACCAGACTGTAAACTATGGCTTGCGCAGGGAAAATTATATCCTCCACGCAAAAATTAGGCCTATATTTCCGACAGTACATTTAAAACACAACAAGGGCCTATTTCTGCACAATTTCACAAAAAATTAGGCTTGGCCTATCTCTAATCATACAACCAATGTATTAAAAGGCAGTTACTATTCCACACACCTATTTTCCTAGCGATTTTCCGTGCAAATTTGAGTTGGTTTTTAAGATATTGTCCACACACAAAAAAAATACATTACAGTGTGGGCACTAGATGCTTTCAACAATTTCATGTCACTGAAAAATTCCTGTAGGTAATAAATAAGATATTAAATGGCAGTCCTATGCTCATGTGAAGATACTACGCCCTAGAAAACCCGCCCTTGGAAACTTCCCCATAAAAAAATGTACACTTCCTAGACCATGCAGTCTTCAAAATAAAAATTGTAACCTTTGGTAATCAACTACATTTTCCACATACATAGAAATTTTTGAAACTTTATTAAAAAAAACATAGAAATTTTTGAAACTTTATTTAAAAAAACCTAAACCATTCACCACTATAGACACTTTTTGACAAAAATGAAAAATTACGACTTTGTTACCCAATGAGAAGTGTTCTAATATAGACAATGGGTCGTGTCTTATATTATTTGTTATATTTTTATTACTCATTATTTTCACTTGATTCGCATAAATAATTTTGTTTGAAGAACATTTACATGCAGTGGTACTTCGCAGCACTTCACTTGCAATTTGCAATTTCTAGTAATAATCTAAGGATGTTTACTATTCAAAAGGTACAAACTGCCATTGAAGTCCACACTACATCTAAGGATACTTATAATTTACCAGTTCCAAACTTTGCCCTAATACTGCTTGGAGCTTCACTCCTTGCCATACTGCTGTCGGTTGGTCCAAGAAGACGTCGCCAATTATCAATGCTGCCCTCTCCCATCAGCTCAATAGCTATCACAGGACCACTTGTGATAAATCGTACCAGATTGCTGGATTAAAAAAAAAAAAGAAATATGACATATAATAATATATTATTATTATTATTATACATTATATTATTATATTTTTGATATTACATTGAAATGATAATTATCAGCTTTACGTCCATACATTGAAGTGCAATTTTCTATTCCAGTATTCAAATATTAAAAAATCTGTATCTTTTAGACCTTTCAGTGTCTTAGTATATACATATGCACAACATATTAAAAAAATTTGTTAATCTCTGAGTCTGGCTTTAAAACAAAAACTATTTAGTTGCTTACTCAAAAAATGGTTTTCCAACATGTTCCTGGTAGAACCTTTCGGCCTCTGCTGCAGATAGTGTTACCATCTTAGCATTACTCACAAGAAAGTTACTTTTATAGATCATATCAAAAATGGCACCTAAAAAAAGGATTATTATTATTAGTATGCTAATAGATTAATCAATCACTCAACCAATTAAATTATCCATCATTTATCAAGATGTACTAAGATATACTATCTTTTTTCCGATCATCAGGGGAAATAATAAAGTATTTGGAAACATACTGAGTATTCAGTAAGATAACATGTCAGGTCAGGCAAAAACATATCATTCCTATTACTTCAACTGACGCAAACGCCATTGGGAATAGCACTGCAGCACCGGCTGTTACTTGGGTATCAGCTTCAAAACTAATCACTAAGTGCAAGCTTGGTGGTCTAGTGGTCAAGACACCACACTATTTATCTGATGGTCATAGGTTCAATTCCCAATAAAGAATAAAATTGTTTTAAAAAGCAATGGCATACTTACCAACTTTCGATATAGCATCAGGTTTTATCATTGCTAATGTTCTGTAAATAAATTTAAATGAAAGTTAAAAGTGTTATCCCTTGCAAATATGTGGAGCAGTTTGAAATCTTATGCAGAAACTATGGGCACTTAACATTATTACAGTTAATAGTTAATATTACAACAGTTTCTTATATAAACCAATATACTGTACCTTTCTTTTTGTTGGCCTAATACTTTTCTGGTGAAGTCGTCAGCATAATCTACAAATGTAAGTTTTCTGGAATGAACATTCACCGTACTGCCAACATACAGATCCTCATACCTTACAGAATCACACTTTGAGCGCTTCAGAAACAATCGCCTATTTTTTATGTCGTACTTGAAATCAGGAAAGAAACTGACGCATTATAAACACAGAACAACTTAAAAACAGCATAATAATAATAATGATGTTTTTATAGGACAAGACGTTGCAGTTCAGTTTTTTAATTTTTCAGCAAAGAATATTTGATGACTTAGACTATCTCTGTGTGTGGAATTTATTTTGACACTTTTTCTGAAGGTTTAATTCTTAATTGGTGGTAAACTTTCTTTATGGAATTGAAGCCAACAAATTCAGAATTAGCATTTAGAAATAACTACCTGTATAGTAATGTTAATTAGAAGAATTGAATATTTTGAAACAACCCCAGCAATCGTATAATTAGTTTGCATACTACTGTGGTAAAACAAGGCCAGTTACTTACCATTTCAACAGTGTTATCTGCAACATAGAAAAGAAGTTGGTACTTCCGTATGAGGGCAGCATTTGGGTCATACCATTCAGCAATGAATGAATACTGGTGGTCTTTATTGGCCTGTGAGTGATGTAAACAGAAATATATCATTTTAATGTAATTTCTCAAAAAAGGTTTGATGAATATCCAGGCGTGAGGCTTTGTAAGGCAGTGGCTATTGTTACACCTGTGTTAAACAAATTCCTACATTTGAATGGAGGTTTGTCCTACGCCCACTTGTTTGCGTATATCAAAAAGGACTGAATTGTACAGAAAATTAGCACTAAATAAAACAGTATTTTTTTAAATGTTTGACAGAGGCCTAGACATGTTTCTTTAATGGTTTATAGTAGTATATAGACTAGTAGATCACATCCATGTTAAAGCCTGGCTCCAGAGGAATTTTTTTTTTATGTTTTACAACTGAATTTTTTTATGACACAAAAAGCATATTTGACGAAAGACTTGTGATACAGATTTTTGAATACTTAAAAACTGGGGCTAAAAAAAACAGCCGTTAAACTTTCATTCTTGATGTCGTAGGTTAGTTTTTGCCCAACAACAACAAATCCAACCAAACACACCCATTCCAAAATTTACTGCCCACTTGTAATGCATTATGTAACAAGTTATTTTTAGCAGCGAATCTCTGTCGAACATGTGTCTCCATGCTGTGAATCAACGATCCGATCAGCCCACTGGACTGGTCTCTTTAGGGACAGACCGCGGCGTTGCCTATTTTTAGCCGCAGCTGTGGAACACGCTAGTCTTCACGCTGTGAATTAACGATCAGATCAGCCCAATGGGCGGGTTTCTTTAGGGACAGACTGCGGTGTTGTCTATTTTCAACCAAACTTAGCGAGCTGTTTATTTTTAGCAATAGTAAACAAGTTTGCATTTTCAACTTTACGGCGATCCCAATGTCTGATCTAATCAATTGGAAGAGTTTGAAGTCTGCCAAATTCGGAGCCAATTCTTTTATATTTTGTGAGCATTTGGTTTTTATGCTTTTATGCAGTTAAAATAAATGATGCCCCCCAAAAAAAAAAAAAATTATTAAAAAAAATTATTCCCGCATCAATATTTCCAAAATTGTTGACGTGGGCGGGAGTGATAATCTAATAACTAATAGATTTTTCTACTTGCCCTTGGCTAAAGCAAAATACAACTGATTGATTGATGACGATTTATTCAGCTAAAAACGATGAACAGGCACTTATGTCCAGCTCTGAAAAAACTCAAACTAGGCCTAGGTAAGGGGCCTAGGCCTAGTTCGAAACTGTTATTAAAAACAGTCACAACACAAAACAAAGTAATTTGTTCTCATCGACCCCTAAAACCATTCCCATTCATTGCTTTATCACTGTAAAACTATCTATCTATTGTTGGTTAATAATATTGAACAATATTTTATAATACGCGCTAGGCCTAGGCCGGATGCCAGTCAATTCGAGCGGATGTCAGTTCAAACGGATGCCAGTACGAGCAGATGCCAGTTCAAGCGGATGCATTTAGTGCGAACTACAACAAGGGTGAATTTATGGTCGCATTATTTTTGTATTTTTTTGTTTTAAATGCAAAAAATGCTCTATGCACTAAAGTTCTGAAATGTTTTTGGTGCTTTTTAATAATTATTCCATGTTTGAATTACTGTACAGTCTTGGCAAATCCAACTAAAAGATGGCCGCTAGAAAGCACTTAGGCCCTACAGTATATTTTAAAACTATAGAATAATAAGACTAAAAGATGGCCGCTAGAAAGCACTTAGGCCCTACAGTATATTTTAAAACTATAGAATTTCGCACGTAGAATTCACGATTTTTGTCTCCAGTATAGTTAAATTATATAGTGTTGTAACGTCAGTATTGGTAGATTTACGATTTAGGCCTATATTTGTAAATGGGAGTAACTGTAAATGTAATTTTTATTCACCATAGAAATTTAAATTATTTTTACGTATATGGTATCAGAAGGTGCACAAATCATTGGTGTAGTAGTGTGACACAGGGGCGGATCCAGTGACGTGTAGGAGACACGGGGAGGCACATGCCTCCCTCGTCTTGCCACTAAATTTTAAAAATGTCAATGCACATTAATGTTATGTGCTACTCATTTTAACTATCTGAAGCTGTTGTGTCCCACCCCGCTGTTTGAAAAATTCTGGATCCTCCAGCCCCTGTGACAAGACTATCAAGACAGCACAGTAATAAACATCATAGCAATTTTCTCCACTATTCAACCATTCGTCTATATAGTTCAAAACCCACTTTTTTTAAAACTTAGCATGTGGAAAGAATAACAATGACTAAACATTATTTTTATGAACGTAGGTATGTTTATTGTAAATTGTTAATCTAAGTTATAAATAAATTAAATATGACTTTTTTTTATATGTAATGCTATAGGCTTTTCTCCCGGAACCCACTGGGGCTTTAACCCTGGTTCCAATGGCATATCTAGAAGTCTTGAAATAAAGGTGCTGATTGGGGGCGCGAAGGTGAAGTAGGGGGGTTCGATGATCAGTTGAGGGGTGCTAATTCTCGCAAAATAAGGTGATTTTAGGTGATTTTTAACTACTTCAAATTGATTTCTTTTGTGGGTGTGACTGGGGGGGGGGGCGAGTAATTTTTGGAGGGGCGTCTGCCCCCCCCAAACACCCCTAGATACGCCAGTGCCTGGCTCCCAGGGAAAGCCTGAGCCTCGGCCGAATGCAGATTGTTAGCTCAAAATAGGAAATTTTCAAGTAATTCGTACATAACTCGCACAGGCTGTTGTTCGCACAATTGAATCTTTTCTCCGCTCGAACTAGGCCTAGCATCCGCTCGAACTGGCATTCGCTCAAAAGTGGCATCCGCTCGAATTGACTGGATCCCCCTAGCCACGCCTAGCCCTAGGTGGAGTCAGGACTCATCACGACATATGTTAGGCACCACACGATGCGTGACGTAACGCACTTCAACTAGGCCTAGTGTCATTAGCCAAGTTCAGCCAAACATGTTTTTTTCAACAAAGGCCTTAAGAAGATATTCATATAAAATGCTTTTTGATTGGTTGAGACGCTTTCATCAGGTCAATCAGGTCACTCAGGGCCTATAGGACTAGGCTAGCCTGCTAGGCCCTAGATAGAGGGCCGCTAGCTACGACATAGGGCTAGGCCTAGGCCTAACCCAACTCATATAGGCCTAGCCACATAGGCCGGCCTAGGTAGACTAGGCCTACTCCAAAAGGTTTGGCTTTGACCTAGGTAAGCGTACAAGTTACAAGTTAGTTAATTTACCATTTTTAAAAGCAGCAATTTATGATTTTAACACGTTCAGCTAGCTGTCACCGAACAGTCTACATAAAAAAAAGTGAACCGCCGAGTGTACAACTATAAAACTTTGTTTCTCTTCCGGTCACAATCCGTCGTCTGGCAACCAATCAAGTTCTCAAAATTTTATTGATACAAGTTAACGAATACTTATTAATAAATAAATAAAAATCATTGTTTAAATAATATAATAAGTAATAATACATAAAGTATTATATATTTTATTATTATTTATATTCATTACTACAAGTTAAAAATCCAAGAATATAGACAGGATTACATGTCAAAGGACACAAAAATAAAAGGTCTCCCAGTCAAAGGTCAAAGGAAAGTCCAAAAATCGAATCGGAAAAACAAGGAAATGGCTGCTGCAGATCAACAGCAAAAACATGACCGAATGTTCACTCTTAAAAAGTGGAATATAGTGGCAATGTGGAGTTGGGACGTGGAATGTGATACATGTGCAATTTGTCGAGTACAAGTAATGGGTGAGGAATTAAAAATGCACTGGGTAGGATAGAGTCAGTAGGCCTGGCCTGGCCTAGCCGCGTACCTAGGCCTAGGCCTATAAAAGGCTAGCGCCTCTATCTAGGTAGGGCCTATGGCTGCGGCAAGGGTGAGCCCCAGCAGGCAACAGCAGGGCCACGCCCTGCCAACAGGCCTCAGCTAGACTTAGCCCAGGCTCACAGATTTAAGCCATTTCGCTGTTTGGTTGCGACTCAACGGTCATAGAATGTTGTTTGTTAAATGTTATTGGTGAACACATTTTCGGGGCTAGGCCTAGTACTCTAGAGGCTACTACTACTAGGCCTAGCTAGGCCCAGGTCTATGAATTATTAATTATATACCTAGCCTAGGCCTAGTAGCAGGGGAAGGTTTCGCGCGCATGTCTTCTAGGCCTAGCCTAGGCCTGTGGTACTGCTGGGAAAAAATATTTTTGAAATTTTTTTTAAAATTATAGTTAGTAGATATTTTATTCAATACGCCTTTTTCACGAATCGGTAGACATCTTTAAGTGATGTCAAACATTGCGAATCAGCGGTGCGTAACCAACAGAAATAAGATAAGCTTTTGGGCTGATTTTCTGACATCATGTTATTTAAAAAATCATAACTCCATAACGGGGCGTCGTATCCAAAAAGTGTTTCCAGGAAATTGTTCTTAAAAAACCAGTCTACACCACTATATGATTGAAAAAAAATTGAAAAATTTTTTTGACCTCTGAAATCAAGATTAAAAAAGAAAAGCCTATCTTATTAGTGTATTAAAATAGGCCAATGCATTACAGTGCAGTAGCATAGGACTTTCGAGTTGTTACTGTTCCAAGTAGCGATATATACATATTTCTCTTATTACAAAGTACAAGTTATGTTTTATAAAGAGGTATAGTATAGTAAATCATGTTTCTCAATTTCTATCCTCAGCATACCAGGAATGATTAAAAAGCATTTCTGTGTGAGAAAAATGGCTTAAATTTTCAATGACAGTTATATACTCAAATTGAATTGAAAATTATTGGGGAACTCCAAAACACTGCACAGAATGTTGTTGGGAGTAATATATACAAGTGATTACTGTACTGGTAGGCTTTATTTTCAGCTTGAAGTGTATATTTTAATGTTTGAATGTACAGTACTCTAGTTAAACATAATCATGTTTATTTTTTTTCTGTAGTTGTTTGGGGCGAATGTAATCATTCTTTTCACAACTGCTGTATGTCACTCTGGGTGAAGCAGAATAACCGATGTCCTCTATGCCAACAAGAATGGACGGTTCAACGAATAGGAAAATAGCGCTACCAGTTAGCAGACAGGGACAAATTAGCCTCATCTGCAAGAATGATTTGTTAAACGAATAGGAAAATAGCGCCCTCAGTTTGTAGACAAGAACAAATTAGCCTCATCTGCAAGGATTTTATGCAAAATTGGAACTACCATCTTTTGGAACATTCACACCTTTTATGGGGCTAAATTTTTGTTTGTGAACCAACACCAACACATGTCACCCCTGTGACCCCCCATTAATATGATTGACACATTTTTTTTGTCACAAAGCTAATATATAGATTCTACTGTATACTAACGTCTCAGTAGCGCTAATAATGTACACAGACGTTGCCAAGAAAAAGTATCACTTTTTCTAATGTCTTTCTCTTTGGGTGACATATAGAGGCCACACTGTAGTGGGCCCGTGGTGGAAAAACATTTAACACAAGGTGTGCATTTACTGTAGTAAGTGATCATCATAGGTGGTTGGTCAGCAGTTAACTGCATGAAGGTTAATAATATGAAGAACAAGTATGGCAGAAAAGGTGCTGGAAATGTCAGGATTATGAAAAACATTTTTTTAAATTAAAAGTGCACAGTTTTTCAAGCTTTATATATTATGTAATGTAATTTTATATGTTAACCATGCATTTAGGAGATGGGGGAGAGGGATTAGTTTTGTTTCCAATGATTTGTAGTATCCATTTATACAGCATTGATTATATTGGGTTTTTTTTTAGTCATCTAAAAAAGTTGCAAAATAATACAGTTTGCCCTCTAATTTGAGCCCCCCTTTGTAACCTGAAAATTTGGGGTGGTCTTGATGTTCGAATTTCTTGTCAGAGTAGGCCAATTTCCTCTAAAAATTGCACATTTTAGGGATTTTGGATCAATTCCGACGAAATTAGAATTAAGAACACCGGGGGACAAGGTGCACTTTAATTGAATCATATTTAAAATATACTGCCGATGGCTTTGTTGTATATTTTAAATATAATTGAATCATATTTAAAATATACAACAAAGCCATCTGCAGTACAGTATGTATTGTTATATAAAATATGTACAGGTATAGACTTCCTTTTTTTAATAAAAATATTTTGTTCTGAATCCAATGCAGATTTTCATTTTATTCATCTAATGGGTTAAAAAATTGTATATGCTAAATAGAATATACTGTATTATATATACAGTAGAAAGTACAGTACACAAAGAAATTATTTAGTGTTGCATCATTCACTTGCAATTTGAGACCACTGCCAGGCAGACAAGACTCATAAATTACATATCCATCATATCCATTATTTCTATCAATCTTCCAGCGTGCACAGGCCTCTCTTGTACAGGTAACATCCTTCCACCCTAAAGCTAAATTTACACTAGACACGACGACAATAAAAATGCGCTCAGAAGAATATGAACGATGTTATATGTCGCTGTCGTGTCGCTATTGTGTGTAGTGGAAATTATGTAGCTTTAGGGTCTCACTTTGTGTCTGAACTACCCGGTAAACCGGTACCAGCTACTCTTGTCTGTCCAGAAGAGGGGCCAGTATGTACTGGGGTGACCGCCTCATCTCGAAAGATGGACTGGATTCTTTTAGTGTACATAAGCCGATGTGTACACTGGGCCTACGATTTATAGACTGAGAAGACTTGTTCCACCAGCGCCGATACTATGGCTACAGGTTGTGGCACCCCTTCCTTATTTGCATTAAACAAAATGTTATTTGAGCCATGTGCTAGGAAAAATTTAGCAGGCGTCCCCTGCTACAATCTTTGTGAAGGCACACCTGTGCGATATCCATGCATAAGGAAAAACCAGCCAAGGCCTGTAACATTCCCAAGATATTAACATGTACAGTATTTGTGTTTGTGTCTACTTACAAGTTACAGAGCAAAACTTATCTTTATGTATTTTCATTGCTGGGTGTGAATTCTACCTTTTAGTGAAGGTAGGAAACCTAAGATTTAGCACGCATTCTGTATAAAAAAATTTTCTTGTGTGATTCTAGTGCAGTATAATATTAACTATTTAGTCAGCTTTTGAGAATACAGAACCCAAGATTTCCTGATAATTTTACAACTATAAAAATATTTAAAAAAATTCACTTCAATGATTCTAGAATACCATATATATATTCTTTATTGCAATCGATGCAAACATATTTTTGTATAAATTTGTTGACAATATACATTCATTTTACAAACTTCTACATGCAATAATGGTCCATCTCCTAAAATGATAATGAAAGCACTAATTATTAAACTTGCAGGAAACTTATTCCAAATTAAAATCTGTTTAAAAATGACAATTGTAGAAAAATCGATGGAAAACTTTCAAGTTTCTGTAGACAAATTCTTACTGCGTGTTAGTTATACACTGAATTTCTGATAATTGGTGGACTACAGTATAAGGTGTAATCTACTGGATGATAATGAATTAATATTGTTTTTATTGAGTGCTTGCTTGCAAGAAACTTTTAAAAAATTAAAATCTGTTTAAAATGAATATTTTGGGAAGGCCTGTTGAATGCTTTCAAGCTGTGAACACTCAATTTTTTTTTCTGACACCACATCATATACTATTAAAGAATCATTGACATGCAAGAAAGGACTTCCAAGCATAAAAGATAAATGTTAGGTCCTCCTGTGAATAATAGTGATTGTACAACAGTACAAGACTTCAAAACCTTACTCACACTAAAACAGTGGTTCTCATGGGTGACGACCCAAAACATCAGGCAATTGGTAGCGACCCACTTAATACTGGGACTTTAAAAATGGGCATTCACTGCTAAACAAAATTAAAGTAAAATGTTTATATCAGATATCTACTGTATAGTAAATTTAAGCATGATATAAAATTCAATTTTTTTTTAAATCCTAAGGAGTCCCATGACCCTCTAACTTATTTGGCGCACAGATGTGGGTCGCGACCCATAGTTCGAGAACCACTGTATTAAAATCAACTACTTCATAATGTCACCTAAAGGAAATCACAATGGCATGTACAAGTGCAAATTGTAAGAAGCTACACAACTTGTGCCCTATTAATGTAGTTATCAACCTCAGGAAAATTTGAATGCATAATTAAAGAAAATTTGTTAGTAAACTTTGGTGGACATCACCAATTGAAGAAGTAAGCTGTTAGATGCTCACAGGGAATCTTGAGCTAAGAAAGTAAAAACACAAGATCGCCCCATTTGAAGCAGAACCATTTTGTGTATTGTTCTTATTAAATATCGTAAACTAATTCCAGATAGTTTCTTACTGAATGTGTGAAAGTCATGATCACATAGATTTTAAAAAGTATGAGAAGATTGGTAACTGTGTATTTAAAATAATGGGCTGGAGTGTGACACATGAATGAACACTTTTCTTCTGTTTTGACGTAACACTGGGGCCCTGTGGTTTTCTCAGAAATTGTGGATTGTTTAATTATTTTTTGCCATTGTGTTTTAACAACGAAAATGATGATATCAGTGGCGGATCCAGACATTTGAAACAGAGGGCCTATTTCACAGACGGATGGTCTATACCACCTCAGTCCCGGGCTGAAGGAAGAAAATTTATGATTATGGCACCTCTAGAGTGCCGGAAATGGCACTCACTTTAATCCGTCACTGGATATATGATACAAGTCCTACAGTCGATGTCAGAGACACAATATGCTGTTATGTATCAACAAAGCTCTTTTGCATCAGGGTGCTAGAGTGAAGACCTTAAGAGGGACCCAGGGCCCATAAAGGTCAGGGGCCCTGCAGACAGCCGCACCAGATGCCATAGGTGTTACGCCACAGCTACTATACAAGTCTTTTAGTACTGTGCTTTCAGTGGTGGCTTCAGAAATTTGCCGACTGAGGGTCTAACAAGTCCAACTGGACAGAAGGGGGTCTGAATAAAGGCTTGCAATTCAGGTACTCCTATAACTACTGCAGAATTATCTGTCTATCTACATACTTAGCACCTACTGAAAATGTTAGCTTTATCACTGAGTGGGTTGAATTTTCATGCGAACAACCTGTTGCATGGTATCGTGTCTTTAACAAGTAAGTAACGGTTTTGGGTGGAAGAAGTATAACACAATTTGCAAATATATTAAAAATAATATTTACTTGTACACTGTAAATTGTCAGGAAAACCTTAATCTACAAGCCTAATAATATAAAAAAATAAATGCATGTATAATCCTCTAAAAGCATTTTTAATTTACATAAAACTAGAATACACAGCATTGTCGAAATATAATTTTGGTTTTACTTTTACAAAAAATTTAATGCTGTATGTGGCTGTATACAAGATGGTATACATCACTGCTGATGACATTTCAATGACAGAAAGTCCAAACTCTTACCCAAGTACCGCAAGTACACAACAATATCAAGTAAAAAAATATAATGTATTTCAGGAGAAGTACTAATATTTGAATTGTGGTATAAAAAGAAAAACCACTATTACTTGAAAAATACATAAATATATCATTCTGAGTAAAAAAATTGTAGATTATCTAATATTTTATTTGAATATTTATGTTAAAGGTAATTTGTCTTAAGACATCATAAATTATTACATCTTGCAAAAATTAATTATCATTGCTCTTACGCAGCAAAATTAAGGAAACAGACATATAGTAGGTCTACTTCAATTTGCAACCAATATGCTTGCGTGCCTACAGGCATGCCTACTTCCATACAGTAGACTTTAGCTTACTGTACGATCTCATTACGCTTTACAGTTAAATACAGAATACATGATATATCCGACAGCTAAGATTAGTAAATTACATTTATTCCGCTGGTAATTTTTTTCTCGTGCACACAAACTCAAAATTTATTCTGATTTTTGGATGTTTTGCATTGGTGTTTCTTTGCAGTTTTAATTTTTTTTTTCCCAGAAAAAAATGTTCCAAGTTATCATTTTCTTTGATCTAGTAAACTGTAATGTAAGTCATATGGATGACAGTTGTTAGCCCCTACGCAAGCATATATGATGGTATTTTTCAGGCAAGAACTACATTTCGAAGTCCGGTATTACAATTTACAAATATCTTACATTTAAAATACCTGATTTTTCCCCCAACAATTTTTTAAATTAAATATCAATACAAATTTTGTTAGAATTCTAATAAGAACACTAATTCACAATAGTGCAAATATACACATGTCAAAATTTATTTCATTGTAAATTTTATGAATCAAACATTATAAATATGATTTTGTGTTGAAACTTATAAATACAGTTATACGTTCATAAATGTCCAACAAAATTTAAAAGATTATGAAGGTGATTTCATACTGGAGTAAAAGCTTAATGTGAAGCAACATCAGACAAATTAATTCCTTTTTATAGCATTATTTGTAAGCATATAAAAATAATCCAGTCTTTAGTGCAGTACAGTATAAGTATATTACAATTACCTATAAAATATTCACACCCTAACAGATACCCCTGTACACACCTGGATTGAGACAAACAACTATTAATTAATCAGCTACACATGTCAATGTGACCAAGCCTCGGATTTAAACCCACTGTCTTTAGATTGGAAAGCCTGGAGACATTCTACTCTGCAAATGTTTCAGGTGCAACTTGCTAATATGATAATGTAGCTTGCACCTCCTAATGTGTCCAAGCTTTGGATGCGAACTAATGATCTTTAGATTGGAAGCCCTGAGCATTGCTGCTGTACCACACATTTCAGGTGCAATAACTTGGCAAAGTAACTTTGTCTTGGATTTGAACCACTAATGTTTGGATTAGAAGCCTGTAGCCTTCCTGTAGTTCCATATATAATATTTAAAAAATGAATAAAAATTACTGTCTTAGAAGGTTATGGTATAAAACAAAAGCTTGCTTTGTCCACACTATCAAATTTTATGCGACAAAAAAATGTGGTATGCCCATATTTGGGCATAATATGACATCATCACACCCATATCAGACAAATTTGTCGCTTAATTGTGATAGTGTGGTCAAAACTATAGTTGACTATTGATAGTACACTACTATTGCGACTTGATATTAAACTTGTCACGCAAGATTTTGAATGTCGGCCTCGCTTCCTTCCTATACGCCCAACAATGCATCATTATATCGTAAACCCAATCCGGACACATCTCTGGTTTTTCCAGCCTATGGCCATCTTCTATAAACTTGATCACCTGCATAAAAACATTCAAAAAATTAGAACAATGCATTGCCAAGAAACATAAAAATTGAAAAAAGGATTCTATCAATCAATATCCTATTAAGTCAAAGACATGGAACATCAAAATGTACATGAATATAATAAACTTAGCCACAGTGGCATTACTGACAAAAGTGCACACTTTCTATACCAGTCCCTTGTGATCACTCTATGAGGACCCTCATTGTCTGCCTTGTCCCCTACAAGGGCTTTCTCTGACTGTTGGGCTGAGCTAGAAATTGTCATACCCTATGTCACACAGAAATAAATGCATATCTTCAAAGCTACCAACAGCCAGAGGATAAAAGTAATACAGTAATGCCACCTGAAGGAAAATCTACATTTATAGGTAGAATTATAAAGAAATTAATATCATTATCACTTATTAATAAAATAAATAGGGATTATTTCTGTTTTTACTTAGTTCAAAAATTTGACTGATAAACTAAATTACTAGTGACTATCCAATCAAGAACATGGATACCCCAACAAAATAACACTATCAATAATATTACTAATGAATCAACAATATCATTAACAACTTTACTTACATCAGCACCCATCTTTTCTCCATACGGTTGATCCCCCATACTATACATCTCCCACAATGTAACACCAAAACTCCAAACATCAGATGCATGTGAGAACTGCCCGTAGTAGATGGATTCAGGGGCATACCTAGATTACCAAGACAACACATTAAACTTAGCTGATTCAAGCAGTTAAACAAGTTTGCTTCATACTATTAAAAAAGCTTGATTCTGAAAACCTTTGTATCCTATTAAAAAGCTCCTAGAAGGACTACAATCAGTGATGGACAGTACCAAGGAGTCTTGCAATAAGGAGGGGAATAAAGGTGGGGGCTCAATGATCAAGTGAGGGGGTGTTAGCTCTCAAAATAATTTCGTGTTGCGGCTCCAAAAATGTGGAATGCACTACCCGTTGAAGTCCGTGAATCAGCGTCAATTGACATCTTTAAAAAGCAACTCAAAACCTTTTTATTTGCCTCTTTATAGCTACTGTTTTCTTTTCTTTTTTTCTTTTTATCTGTTTCACTTTGCTAGCTAGTGTTGTTTGTTCCAGGTTAGGAGGCACCTGATCCCAGAAAAGATCAAGACTTAACCGATGCTATCCGGAGTACATAACCACAGATCTCCGTTTGGCGGTGATGGTGTAACTCCATACTTCGGTTTGGGTGCTAGCTTGGTGTTTTTTTTTTCCCGGCTTTTTTCTTTGTGTTCTTGACTTCATTATTGTCTAGCGCACAGAGACCTCGTTTATTTGCGCTATATAAATCCATCTATTATTATTATAATTGTTTGCTTCATACTATTAAAAAAGCTTTACAATAGACATTCAGCTATTTACAACATTGTTGTTGTTTACATGAAAGATTTTTGAAAAAAAGCAAGGTGTTTTTTCATGACTAAAAATAACTCAATTCCTGGATTTATATCAGACATACATCAGTCTATAGCTCCATTCCGCTAATGTTTGGGTCGCGAAGAAATTTTGATGCGTTGCGCAGTCGCTTCAGATAAAAACAAAATTGATGGTAACAAACGAAAGTGCCAACAAAAGATTGCTGACAGCCGAACCCCGATGCATGTAATTAAAAAAAGAAAACAAAGAAAATTGATCGCCCAAAGCACCTCAGGGGTTATTTTCGGGCGTCTAGAACATTTACCAATAACTTAAACAGGAGCCATTAGGTAAATTTTTGGATAAATGAAAATAAAGGTAATTGTGACATTCACGACAAAAACGTGAATATGTGAGGCTTGATTTCAATCGTTTCGTCTATTCTCGCGTACAAGACAAACCTTAAAATAGCAAATTACGGTAAAAAAATGTGGGGTTGTCTTATTGCGCATTATAAAAATTTTTTGATTTTTAAAATCACGTTCGTCTTATGTCTGTAACACGCCAATTTACTGCTAAAATACGCCTGAAAAAAAATTGTTAAAAAATCTTGTCAAACTCAGGGGTCGTCTTATATGTACACTTTCAAATTTTAATTCCCAAAAAAGTTATTCTGAATGTAAAGATGGTACACAGTAAATTTCCTTGGTGTTATTGTGAGTAGAATCGTTTTATTTTCCAATAAATAATGCATTTATTCCTTTTCATATAAAGTTTTAAACAACACTTGGTGTGATAGTGTAATTTATCTGGGTAAAGGTGTTTTTAAACACTTTTATGAAATAAAATTACTCAAAAAAATAGTCAAGTGCGTGATTCCAGTAAACACCGATATCTCTCGCACGTGGTCAAAATATAAATGTAGTATGTTCATACTTTTTACATTTAAATGACACCTTTCTCTAAATTAAAAGTCAGCATTAAATAATGTAAGGAAACAACAAACTCAAGGTTGTGACTAAAAGCAGGCAAACCTGACCTTAATAATAATACCATATTTTTTAATTTGGCCGAGATTTTTCAGGATAATTAGGCCTGAGTGTTAAATATTTGGATTTGGATGCGGAACGGGAGTTTATAGCATTACGTGGAAGTTTTTGTCGAGTCATTGTTTGTTAATGAGAATGAAACTGAAACGATTTTCTAAAATACACAAACCATTTCACAGGCCACCTTCCTCCAGTCGTCGCTCTATAATAATCACTCTCTGGCTTAGTTGCTCTTGACAACCCAAAATCACTAATTTTGGCCTTAAAAGTGAAAATTGAAATCAAATTATATATACCATGTTCAATTAAATTAAACTATTGCTAATGAGAGAATTTTCAAGCAACAAGGACCAACTACAACTAGCTGTTGTATTGGGAGTCAAATGATAGTAATAATAATGAAGTACAAAATAATAAGACATTATAAAATTTTATAAAAAATAAAATAATATAATATGAAATATATCATATTACAAACCAAATCATAATAAAATTATAATTCAACCAAAGGTTTTTAAAATATACAAGAGTAAAAATATAAGAAAAGATAAAAACAACATTAAAAAAAGAACAAAACTAAAATTATTACCTAAAGTAAGATAACAACATATGCTCTTACTAGGCAACATAAGAGTTCATAATGCTAAAATGGTGCCAAAGGTCGTGCAAGAGCGCCACTATATCAGTGCCATGACAAGTTGGTTGAGAGTACAGTATACACTTCTGTCATACTTTATAATGCCAACTTAGTTATTTTAATAAAAATCAGAATTAGGTTTAATTTCTTTATTGTCAAAAACTCAACAAGGATAACCCACAATAGTTCAAAGACATAATTTCTGTGGTTCCTTCTGGTGGTGAATTGGACTGCACACCAGAAGACAATTCTCAGATCTTTTTTTGAAAAGTGTACTGTATGCTATTTAAGTATGGGTTATGTTGCATGCAGGAACAACAAATTAAACAAAAGGCGAAATGTGTAATTTGCAATTCAGTCAAACAGCTGGCCAGGACCAGGAGAGATGATCAGACTGAACCAGGGACTAATGTCTGAGAGGATCTCCATAGTTCAGAGCACACACTGTGACTATCCACCAGCTTAGCCTACTGAGCTAAAATCCTTTCTTCAGTTAAGCAGTCATTTTGATATTTAAATCCCAATGTTCTGCTCAAATTTTAAAAGGTAACAAAAATTGCTAAAATGATGATGATGTTTATATACTATCACACACCTGCTCTTTTGTTGATAACAAAATATTTCTTGCTGCTAAATCACGATGTACAAATTTCTTCGACTCTAGATAGAGTGAACCCTCTGCAATCTGGCCTGCCCACCTCTTTAAATCTTTCTCCGAGACCTCATTTGCATGGTCAATTAGATAATCCAACAGCGACCCCATTGGCACTAATTCCTGAACCTACAGGAAAAAGCAGTATTAAAGTTCAAAAGAATCTTCTTGCTGACATTCTATTCCATAGTGAAATAGAAGTTGGATCCAGAGGTGGCATATTGTCACAGTGAACAAAAATGCCTAGAAGCAGAAAACAATGTAATAAGATCATCATACACTGCAGACCCACCAACTAATGTCTCTAAAGTCGGTCTTAATGATTTTGCTTTACGACATGCTTAGTCTAAAATCACCTGGCGTGCATTAGTTGGAGCAAGGTCTGATAGGCATGTATATGACATGAAACGGATAGTCATATGGAAACATACGATATTGTAAAATTTTGAACATGTTCAAAAAATAGTATTCGTAAATGTCGTAGCTCAGCTTATCATAGTAAAATTTCAACATGTGAGATCACTATCCCATTCTCACAAAAAACACTAGCCATTATATTCACATCACACGCTGCACCAAACTACATGCTGATTACTAAACCGCAACACTGTAGGCCCCAATGGAAATAAGTTTTTCATAGTGTATTCCCAAATTTTATTGGGTTAATGTAGGTTGTTCTTAATTATATATCTGTTCTTTGTTTTTGTTTTGTATTTAAGAAATTTTTGTGATTTTAATCTTAAAAAAAATCTTACCCCTAATAAAAATAACCATACTCCTAATAAAAATAACCATACCCCTAATAAAAATAACCATACCCCTAATAAAAATAAAATTTTATTGGTAAATGTAAACAGTGTAGAAATGGGATGGTTAAATGCTTTAAATTTATATATAATTACAAAAAAATATACATATCTTATCTTTGGGGATTTTAAGGCAGTGCAAAGCGTAATAAAAATGTTAAAAAACAATTTTTTCCCCCGAAATTTCCATTTTTTTGTGGTGGTGGGTACACTAATTGGCAAAAAATAAAATTTTATTTTTATTCAAAATCATCATTATTTGCAGGCAGCGGGTTCGCTAAACAAGGTATAAAAAATGTCTCGCCTAGCTTTTGACCTTTAGATTACAAAGATTTTATGTCATTTTCCTTCTTTTTTTTTTTTGTGACTAGAGCCTGTTTTCGCAAGAGTGGTTCATATTTTTAAAAGTTAAATGTGTTCAGTATATTTTAATGATATGCAGAAATGCAGTACTGACCAGCATCATTGGTGGGCCTTTGACAACACCTAATAGCTTCACGATGCACGAGTGATTCAGGTCACACATTACGCAAGCTTCTCGAATGAATTCTTTCTGTCCAGTAGTGATATGCTCTGAATGAAGTGTTTTGAGAGCCACTTTCATATGCTTTTTACTATGCTTATCCTTCAGAGTGCCCTCTAGTACTGAGCCAAATTCTCCTTGCCCTAGTTCTCGACCTGTTTTACAGAGAAACAGAGAGATAATAATAATAAAAATAAAACCGCATTTATATACAAGCCGGGATTACAAGGTAAGACAAGTTACAACCACTTAAATAATTAAGTTAAAAACTATACCCTGCCAGACACCATCCCGGTATTTGTGATTCAAGGTTTTCAGGCTGGAATTTTAACATTTTTTTAAAAATAATATTAATTGATTTTATAATAAAATTCATATTATCACATTCCATGTTTGTATCTGTCTCTTATACACATCTAGATGTGTATAAAAGACAGGGGTAAAGGTGTTTTTAAAGATGTGTATAAGAGACAGGTATACACCTTTTTAATTTATACACATTTTACATTTATCCCTATAATTTTTTCTATAAAAAAATCTGTGCTCTCATCAGGATTTGACCAAATATAAAAAAAGGCGAGTATTGTAACCATCTCGCCCCAAATTCACTGTCAAGCATTACACTGATTCTTACCTTGTACAATGTTTTTTATATCAATAAATATTAGATTGTCTTGTTTTTCTTCGCTTAATGTTCTAGCAGGCTTTTTCTTCCCTTTAAATAGGTTAAACTTTTTGGCAGATGTCGCATTGACCGTTCCTTTCTAAAAGATGAAAATAATTCAGGGGTTAGATTTACACAGGATCTAACCCAGGGGCTTTTAACTGGCAGCCCGCGGGCCATCTTCGGCCCGCGAGACCAAGCCGAATATAATATTTTCAGTTAAACTCGACAACTGGCACAAAGACTAATTTCTGTCACTAAGCAGGCAAGATCATGATTGTAACAATGTAAGATGACATAGGGCCTAGGTTCATTTGTGATTAATTGTTTGTATTTTTCTGATGACTCATTGTGTGATAACACAACATTCTGACTTTTGCATTACTTAAGACAAGGGTAACTTTCTTAGGTCAAGATGCCCTGTATGAGCGTTTGGCAACTTATTTTTAAAAATTCCTAATTTGGGAGGAGGGGGGAAGACACCCCCTTCCAAACAAACCCTCCCCTGACTCGCACCTATCGCCCTTCAAATTTATTCAATGAACAATTTTGGCCCCTATTGTGATATACAGTAGTTGAGACACCCTGGTCTAAACAATTTTTTATTGCCACCTAAAATTATTATTAACATGTATGTTTTTTTATGAGTGAAATAATAGCCTAGTAAAGTTGGCTTAATAAAATAACAATTTTATTTTAAGGGCTCTGAAAATATTAGTTTATCCACCACATCTGCATTTGAGGGGACCACACTTCCATAGTTTTGTTCGCTTCAAACCATCTGAAATTCTTGGTAGCCCCCAAAAACGAGAAGTTCCTGGATCCAACTCTGTAATTTGAAACAATTAGTATTCTTTGTACTGTTCATCAAAAATTCCATCACACTCTAGGAAACATTCATATGTACTGATTTATACCTTCCTAACAACTATGCATTTTAACTAAAAACATGTCTATACTAGTAGATTCCTTTGCTAGGATATAGAGGTGGGTGTAAAAAAGGGCTAGATATTACCAAAGTAATGTGTTTACCGAGGCCACAAGGAAAGTAGTGTAGACATTTAATGGTAAGAACATTTTTTATTTTATTTTACCACTTTGTGCTCAATATTAATATTACATTTAACAGATGATCGGCATTATTTGTTTATTTATTTTATTAGAAATTTTTCAGGCAAAACAACCAAAATCAGAAAATGCCATTCATTGAAGCCAAAACTATGAAAGACGCTACAAGATGGGGGTTTTTTAACCAAAGACTTAATTAGGTGGGCCATACACTGTATAGGGTTTTCAATTTATTTTCGCAGGCTGCAACAAAATTATCTTTGGGCCCACCTGTGACATAGAGGGTCATCCCCAATATCTCCTTATGATTACTATGATTGCTATTTTGGTTTATATTTTCCCTGTTCCATATATTTTTTTAAAAATCACAAAAAAGGAAAAGAATTTAAACCACACTTTAACCACAATATGCATATTAGTTTTTAATACTCTGGTTTCAGGTTTGGATTTGGTGTATACACATTTTTAATTAACATTATTATTAATTACTTTTTTATTAACATATAATGAACAAAACAACAGAAAAATAAAATGTACTGCCTCACTGGAAAACCAATAAAATCAAACGTGTTGATGAATCATAGTTTCTTCCATGTCAGACCTCACCTGTAGATGAGCATTCTGATGTCCTGTTGTGCCTACAGTCAAGTCGGCTGGTCTAGGCCCAAGAGCGGGCGGAGAATCCTTCTCATGATCAAGCGGCACCACAGTCGCTGGCCTGCATGGGACCGTCAGCTTGCAGGGTAGGCCATCGTCATACTTCTGGTAGTGATCTATGAGGTATTCCAGGGAGCTGAAGAAAGGTCCATCATCTATGTGGAAACCATCAATCTTGGAAAAATAAAAGAAAACAAATTTATTCATTTAATTCTAAGCCACATTTCCATAAAAAAGCTACATGGTATCACCGACAGCTTTCGGTAACACTGACTGGTCTTTTGAATCAAACTATCATTCTTTGTTTCCTCCTCTGTTTAAGGATAGTATCTAACAAATACCTTGCAACTCATCTCTGTTTGAAGCCCTACCTCTGAATATGAAATTCTGGTAGCTTATGTGATACAGAACCAGACAACTTTAGTCCAAATTCAGTAGTCTCTTTGTGCTGTTCCATGGTGTTGTTATAAAACCAACCCTCTCTTCTACTACAAGGTGCTTAATACATTTATGCTGCCTTACATGTCCCTCTCTGTAGAATTTCGTACTAGCAATTTTTTCTCAAATAATTTTTTTAATATATTATGCCCACATTTCAAAAGCTTTCATCATCTGCATGCTTTATTTGTTGCATTTACCCAAGCACCACTGCAAAATCATAGTCTTTTGGTTTGGCAGCAGACAAACAAATTTTATTTTTTACTGGAATAATTTGTTAGCATTTGATGCACGAGACAAAAAACAAAATGTATATAGGGCCCTCTGTGTAAATATAAAATAAAGCACCGTCTATGTTATTAAAAAAAATCGTAGTGGTGGAACAGTTACTAATTATAGACTTCGGTCAGTATATCTTGGTTAAAAGAAACTTATAGAGTACCACAGTTGTGTCATCACGACGACAGGTGGCGCTCTCGGTTGTCAACAGACGTTGGATACCGCTCATTACGCCTAAATGACTTCATAGGATTTCTGGAATAGGCATTTTATAATCTAATATTTTATCATCAAAATGTACTAAAAAACACAGAAGCTCGCATTAGATTAGTTATCGAACACACATTTAATCATCAATTAAAATTACAAAGAAAAAGTAAGATAAAATATCTTAATAATTATGTTAGAAATTGGGATCAATGGTGTATCAGTGAAAAAAATGGCATCCGGTTGAACACTTTTTGCAACGATAGCAACGGAGTAGTATCACATGGTATCGTGATGTAACAGTGTAATACTCTATAGCCTCTATTCAGATTTTAATGACATAGTTACCTCATTTTTATGAATTTTAGGGTATAATCAGACTACACATTTTATTTTTTGTAAAATTGTTAAGATGCGTGAGATAATGGGACGCAGGCGCGAGGTGCAAAAAGTGGATGCCCATGAGTGGGACTCGCACATTATGTGAGAGAGTTGACAGGTGCAGACTGGGCCTAGAACTATTCTAAGGTCCATTTCCAACAATAACTCACCTCATGCACCTGGTTGCTGAAATGATGATGACTGGGCTAATATCCATGAATAAGGTATAAAAAGTATTAATTAAAGCATGAAACAAGGCTGTTTGAAATGATTACACAAGGAATTATGTTGTGTTCCTCAGTAAAAAGAAACAACAAAGATTTTATGTTAGCTGGGCTTTGGTCAATTTCTTTTGGGTGTAATTAAATGTGGATATCTTTAAGTTTGCCATTTTTCCCAATGACTGTACTGTATAGTATATACTGTACTTTGCTAAAGCCATTTTGAAAGCTGGTGACTTTTATTGTATTATTTAACTTTTATTGATATATTTTACTATTTCTCCTAAAGAGAGATTAAATGAATTGAATTGAAATAAAGAACACTGTTGGATGGAACCTTCTTCTTTTTTTTATAATACAGGTCTCCTTCCAATTAAAGACTACTTTTGGGACCAGAGATTCCATGGTCTTTAGCAGACATGGTGTCTACCTACTAATAATTAAGACATCTGTTAATTTTGGGACCACAGAAAAGCAGTCTTTAACTGAAGGCAGTCTTAAATTGGAGGGGTCTTTGAGGGACAAGTAGTATGTTAATAATAAACCCAAACATATAAATACCTTAGTATCAATTTCAAAGTTATAATACAATCCTCCAGAGACCATGGTCAAAACGTAAGTGTCTGGTTTATGCGTACTGCTACGAACCAGAAACTGCCCATGACCCCCACCATTCATAGTGATCTGTTGAATCGCGTAACCACGATCCTTGACACCGTGAAACCAGTCTGTGTAGCTTGTTTTAGGTGGAGGAGGCACAAATTTTACTGTAGGAGAGACACAAAGAAAAGTTCATTTAAATATCTGTAATTATCAAGCAGTAACTCATAGTATATCAATTTAAATTCAGTTTAGGATGATCTATTTTTGTGTAACTGTAACCTAGAATTATGTCTATTATTAGACTTTTTCACTCCTACCTTTTAAATTTCATTTGTACTTGTTAATGATGATTTGCACTAAAGTTTCTCATACTGTATTCTGGTACCTTGTACTTAAAGTACTGTAACACTCGATACACACTCCAGCTGGGAGAATGTATTTAATGTTTCACCTAGAAACTGTAGTCTACAGTATTGTTTACAATTGTCTGCACAAAAAACTATTATACTAGAGCAGTCACTCCATAGAGTGCATACTTCAGCCCTGTGCCTGAATACACAATACGAATACAATACACTGGCCGAGTTTGATGGTTGAAACTGCAGCATACCCTCAATGAAATAATGGAATAGCCCACCATATTCTTGCCCATTGTTTTCTTGAGTGCTGCTTGAATATGTATGACACGATTCCATTATTTTCCTAAATGCTTGAGGGTAAAAAATATTGAATTTCTGTGACCTTTACCTTGTCATTTGACCTTTTCTTCCAAAAATTGAAAGGTGTCTTTCCTTAATTATTATGTACCACTCCACTAAATTTTATGATGACCGTTTTTTAGTTTTTGCATTATCTTCTAACAATAATATTATAACCTTACATAGTAGTTCTGCTGTGTTTTTATTCTCGTATCGTACCGCTAGCTTATATGGAGTGTCCTCATCTGCGTTTCTAGGATTCCGAGGCACACCCATGTTGAGCAGTTGATTAACACATTCTGAGTTTCCTCTCTGTGCTGCTGTGTGAAGCGGTACCCAGCCTGTAGTATGGTGGCGGGCTGTTGGGTCTGCACCTCTTTCTACTAACAGCTGACAGATGAGAGGAAAATTGTTCAGACAGGCATGCTGAAAGACACAATTGTTCATTCATTAATTAATTTATAATTAATACATTTTGAAGTAGAGATCTACAACAGTGCAAACTAACAAGCTCGCAGGGCCAGTGGTGGCTCCAGAAATTTGCCGCCAAGGGGTCCAACATATCCGACAGCGGGGTTAGAACCAAGAACTGTGATCAGGGTCCTGGAATAAAAATTCCTGGTAGGGCTGATGGGGAGAGTTTCTATGGTTAATATGGACTAAAATTGTGCTTTTACTGTAGACCACAATATAATTAAGAATTGGCAATCAAAATAGTGTAATGTTTTTGATAAGGCATTGAGAAAATGTAATCTCCTATGAGAAATATTCTCATTTTTTTTATCCTTATAGCATAAAACTAAAATTTATGCCAATATTTTTTCATGGTTTTTAATAATTAGTTAGAGTACTGTATATGCATTTTTTTTTTTTTTTTTTTTTTTATTTTAGTGAAATTTTGCCTGGAATGGGGCTTTAAAGGTTAACCTCGTGGGAAGTGTTGGAAAGCTGTGGGCAACAGTGAGTAAAAAATGAAGGAAATGTGGTCCAGCATGCAAGGTAGTGATTTCTATAGTTCCATTAGTATTGCATCTCTTTGCAGGTTCTGCTTCAAATTACGGTAAACAAAAACAATGTGATCTTTATTTGTAGCTAGTAGTGTAGAGAGGCCTAAGCTATGCACGATGTTCGTGGCCAACTCCTTGCCCTAAATAAAGTTATGCGACAGGTTAAATATTACATTGATTAATACATTTTTTTTTTTATTTTTTTTTTTTAATTTAGTGAAATTTTGCCGGGAATGGGGCTTTAACATTTTATGTCCGACAACCTTGCAGTGGTGTCTAAAGGCTAGGGGTTCAGCCCTGTCTGGGTTTATTGTCCCAACCGACCTGAAACAGCAATTTCAAGTCTGGAAAAAATGAAAGTAAAACTATTAAAAATCAAACTGCATCAATATAATTTTAAACTGACCAATTAACACAAATAATTGGACACTTGAGGTGATGTACAATCGTATTCTCTCTTTTGGGACACAAAACTGTTTGCCAAATATGAAACTAAAATAGGGAAGAAATACTGCATAAACATGTCAATAAAGGAAGCCCAAAGGAGAAGGAAGCAAAGCAAATAAATTTGTGTTGTGCAACAACATCGGTAGCTACAATGTACAATTATCATAATATGAAAGTTGAACTCCACAGAGACATATTTTATTATATTTAATAAGTAAATTTGCTTTATAATAGTTCCCACTGGAAATATTACACAGAAACATGTGATCACAAACTGTAGTATTTACAGTGCAAACTCATAAATACATTTTATGATCTAAAAAAAGTGAAGTAGATTTAGAATTTACTAAAGCAATATTGCAATAGGAAGTGTATGATAATTTATAAGTGTTCATACTGCACATAATTTGTATTTAAAGGGACAACCAACGCGTGTTCCATTCTAGCCTGGGGGTGTCAATTTTTTTAATGTTCATACTATACATTGTTATCGCAGAAAGACGGAAGGTGCATATATTGTATTAAGCCTGGTTGGTGTACCTTGTTATTACACTTCGCCACCAAAAAGGCCTGAAATATAAAAGAGGTTGCATTTTGAATCCCACTCTACTACTTTACTTCAGGCCACAAGTCCCATGCATGTAGGTGATAATGCCTAGGCCTATCAACCACTGAAACTCTCCTGCCAGGATCCTATGCTTACCTACTCCATTTACAAAACAATAAAACACTATATTGATTATTTTGTTAAATTCTTCATATAAGAGCTTTAATAGCTCTAGTACAGTAGAGTATATTAAAATACAGTTTATGATTGTCTAATTTTTGAAAATCGCATCTTACACTATAGTAGGCCTGCAGGTGCTGTTTTATCACTAAACTAGTTGTGCTGGATTTTTTTGGAAGTTTTTACCAATACTGATTCAGGTCACAGATTTAATTGGATTACGATAAATATTATAGCCTGAATCGTAGGTATGAACGGGCCTTTAGAATATTAAGTTTATTAAAGTGTTAGTCTTTAAAGTGCTGAGTTTTGTCATTATTATACTGTTAGCTATGAACATTCATTTGAAATCTAAAGATCTTAAGATTCATATTGCTTTAATAACTGCAAAAGTATTCAGGGGACACTAACCAAAAACGTGAAATTGTCCCTTTAATAGGGGTTTTAGGCATGTTTTCATATAATGATGACATATAATTCTTTATAATTTTATTTTTATTGACATAATTAGTTACGGTAGAATTAGAACTAATTTATAGCAACAATTTGCAATGCAAACACAATTCCTTTATAATATGAAATCAGCAGAAATGTAACTAAAACAATAGTTTTATATGTTCCCAATATTGTTTCATGATGCAATGTTTTAATGAATGAATTAGGATCCTATGAAAGTGCAGGAAAAACGGAGAAAAAGAAATTCCTATGGTTAAGGTTCGAAATTGACAAGATTGGTTTATACGAACTAACACATGCAGTAGGCAAATATTACTCCAATATTTACTCCAAAGATTTGGGGAGAAATCATGAGAAAATTTCAATTTCGGGTGTTGAGACAATGGTCACTTTTGCTCATTTTTGTATTTTTGTTCCCCCATACCTCAAAATTTAAGAGTCTGTGCTAACTGAAAAAAATTAAGTGTATAGCCTGTAACTAGTGCTTGAAGAAAATACAGAAGAAACAGTGTGTAACTTGTTACTTTTGGTGTACGTGGGTCACAAACATGGCTGAAACGCTTATTTTGATGCCAATGCTGTCTGTATAGTTGTGCATAATGTGATTTTCAAGATGGTAATTTTTCAAAATGGTTGATATTTAACGAGTGTGTGAATGATATGTGACAATAAATATAAAATATAAAACATTTAACCCAATTTGTAGTACAAATTCTCATTTATTTAGTTTATGTGATGTGTCAAAGTATAAGAAAATTGATATTATAAGAAGTCCCTCATCTCAGTAAAATACAAAATTGTTCATAAAATGAAAAGTATTCAGCCGATTTGCTTCAAATAAGAAGTATTTTATTTCTTTTTTTTGTCACTTTATGAATAAAATAGAATTACAAAGACATATATAGACATAAGAAAAAAATCACTTGTGATACCTATTAATAGGGGTGTCTCCTTAATAGGGGTTGGCCGCAGTGTTAAAAGATATATCGCCCCTCGTTTCACGGAAAAGTGTCCCCTTAATAGGGGTGTCCCATGTATAGGGGTGTCCCAAAAGAGGGGTTCTACTGTATGCTGTAAAGAACAATGAACTGAAATGCTATTGTCTTCATCACTGCTGATACACAAAAACATTGTACTGTACTACTAGTGTATGGTGGAATAAACATTGTATAAATGAACATTGCATTGTGAAAGAGTCCCAAGTGCTTAGAATTCACTTCCCAGAAATCTGGTAATACTGTAAATGAACTTTTTTTTTAATCTATTTTGCTGAGCATGGACATACCCAGCACTGACTTTCACGAGACAATTGTTATCGAGCTTTCGATTGCACGCCAACGGTAGCACGTAGAACAAAATGACATCACTAAAAGTCATCTGCGCATGCGATAGTGTTAAGTTCGCATGGATTCTAAGATGCAATTTGGCCAAATCTACGTATGCAGAGAACGTAGGATGCCCCGGTAGGATGGTCACGCATGAGTGATTTCGTTCTAGCGTCGGGTCATAAAACAAATCAAAAGCTCCCTAATATTAATAATATGTGGTACTGTACCATTTGCGGGAGATGGGTTATTTTCCGGGAGGTTTTTGCTTCCTTGCAGTGCGGTAGGATGTCCTGATTTCCAGAGGATTCCTGTGATGTTGGAGATTTTTGACCTATGCATATATACTGTAGTGTATATAAAAAGCCGCATAGAGAATTACTTGAAATTTAAGTGTACTGGACAACATTGATAGCTGGAATGTTAAAGTACAGTACAGTATACTGAACATATTCAATGAAGAAGGCCAACAACTCTACTTTTTTTTAGGAGCTTCTCTCATCAGACCTTCAAATAATGTTTTTAAAACCATTAAAAATAGTTTTAAATTTATTAATAAAAAGAGAGTATAAAAAAAATATCTTGGAAAAACGGGATGCTGCATGACATGCCAAGGAGGCAGCGCACTACTGTATAATAGCAAATAACACATTAGTCACAAAGTCACGAGCAACAATTAAAAAAAACAAAACAAAGCCAAACAGTATAATAGCCTCCTTAGAGCTTTGCTCTCTCAGGAAGGCTAATACTATGTAAGCTAAAAAATGTGTAGAAATGGATTAGGAGTGTGAACCTGGTGTGTCCTTGGATAAGCACTTTTATCTGCTTGATTTCTCTTCACCCTGGAACAGTGCAAGGATGTGAATGTTTAACACATGAATTTCACAGGGATCAAAGGATAATGACAATTTGTGACAGATGTTTATAACCAATGATGAAGGATAATTATTATAGCCATATGATTAGTTCAGAGTACATAAAATTGCCACAAAAGAAGAAGTTAATTGAACATACTGTTCTGCAGTACTCCTTCCAAACATCAACACTACTAATACTATGGGCCCATTCGAGCGAAGAACTCTGACCGTATTCCGTTTATTTCACCGGTTAATCGCGCTGAGCACTTAGCGGGTGGTCGACTGTTTGAGCAAGTTTTAGCTCACGTTACCAATACCGTGTAAGGAAGCTACTGTACTCCGGAAGTAAATTTCAACTTATCCCATGGTTATTAACCCATTCTTAGTTTACTTTCTACTGCTGGCATGCACAGCGCAGCGCGCAGGAACAATATTGAACTCAACAACTTTATAAACGTTGCTTTGAAATCTGCACATCGAACACATTGTCAAGCAAACTTTGATTGTCGTGCATGTCAGGAGGCAAAGGAGAGCTGCAACCAGGCCTTGGCCGTAACCCTGTTGAATTTCGCACGTTAGATTGTGGACAAAACATTTGGAAAAACAATTAAGGTTAATTTATCATTGTCTCCTGCTCCATGTTCATTGCATGCACAGTATTCTACCCATCAATGTCTTTTAAAAAATCAGTTCTATAACATGTGTGTATGTGTGTGCTATTTTTTTTCCTCCGGAGCCTGGATTTAAAAGAATTACTCAAGTGTGCAAATGATTTTGAAATTAGTAGTAGTTATACTAATGCAACACCACGTTGCTCACAACAGATCATTTTTAATGACGATCTATTCAGGCTGCACTGACAATCAGCAGGCGACGTCGCGACATCTGATGCTTACAGGGAATGGAGTTAAGATTCATTGTACGACAGTCGTACAACCTCCATAGAATAGCACCGCCCGATTTCCCCCGGCTTTAATGGCGACGGACTTGAAATTTAATAACGTGTAAAGTAATAAGTGATGATACGCAGTTACTGTATACTGTCATTTTGGGTCTGTGCAGGGTGCTGACCCCCGAACTTCACTGCTGTTTTTGTTCTTATTACCAAAAGAAAACAGGGGTTTCAGTAAGAACTGAACATTCCTGCCATTACCACTTATAAGGAACGTCACATGGATGGTGCTGTTGGTTAAGGATGTGTTCTAAAGAACCAAAAGGTCATGAGTTTGAACCGCGTATTGGTATTCATTTTTTTCCCCCAATTTTAAGACATTTATTTTTTCAATTTTAAGACATTTTAATTTTGGTCAAATGAACACTCTAAATATTATTTTTTTTTGTACAAATAAAAATTCTAATTTTTAAAAAATTCTATTTTATTTATTAGCTATTCCAAAACACCCAATATAATAACTTGCGCCTGTTCCGTATTTAAGCGTGGAGGAATGCACGGAACGGGGAGCGCTCACTCTTGTTTGCTTCCAGCATGAATTCAACTGTGTTGTTAATACTGTATTACTGTAGAAGGTACAATACTCAATCTAAAGTCATAACCTGGGCATTTTTTGACATACTGTACAGGACTTAGTCAAATTGATGGTCTGGATCAATTAATTTAGTCAAACTTACGTGCAAAGCTGTAACTCCAGAAGCATCTTTGGCATTCACATTGGCTTTGTGGTCCAGAAGTAACATTACAATATCATAATTTCCGTTGTCGACGGCTATCTGTAGTGCTGTGTAGCCTGCAGAGTTGCGAGCATCTAGGTACTTTGCCAGGCTGTGTTCCCGCAACACCTTCCTCGTTAGATCTAAGTTGGATTCAGATACTGCTCTATGAACAAAAAATATAAATTTGTATAAAAAAAATACTTCTTTGAAGTAACTCTAAGCAGAACATTTGTTGAAGTAAAGTAAGCCTCCCTTTTCCCATACATGAACTTGTCATTCAAACACACAATTGATCCACATGCTTTAACTACTGTTTATTTGCACTGTTTATAACTTGTAAAGTTATTTCATTTGATACTTAACAAAAGTGAATTTTGTGGTTATCTATGAGTTGCATATTTTGGTAGTTGAAGTACTGTATGTATGTCATTCCTCTACTTTGTTAGTGGAACAATGTTTTTAAAACTTATTTCAACTATCAAAAAATGTTCAATGGCCGTTGTTTTCTGATAATCTCTCAGTACATTATTTGTATCTGTTGTGTAACTGTATTTGTTATTGATTCAATTCTTGCTTATTACAGTATTTAAATATTTGAAGATTTAAAAAAAAAAATCATTTCTATTACTGAATTTTTTCATTGGGGCCATTTTTACCTACTTGTCATTTGGGGCCATTTTTACCTACTTGTCATTTGGGGCCATTTTTACCTACTTGTCATTTGGGGCCATTTTTACCTACTTGTCATTTGGGGCCATTTTTACCGGGGCCATTTTTACCGGGGCATTTTTACCGGGGCCATTTTTTCCGGGGCCATTTTTTCCTGGGCCATTTTTTCCGGGGCCATTCTTACCTACATTCATGCATTGGACCAATGGGGTAGGGGGACTTCCACCCCTGGTGTAGGCTTTTGATTACAAAGGTGTGAAACTAGGAAATTTATTGACTGATCCATAACCGTGAAGAGATTTTTGAAAATTTATGTAGATTTCACACAACCAATGTCCTAGAATTCAGACAATGAAGGCAAGCACTCTTGATTCCACATGACCTAGATATTACTATTGTTATGCAATCGAATAATCCCTAATTACTGAGTACTGGAAAATAATAAACAATTTTATTAACGTTTAGATTTGACCCCACCCATGTAGAAATCAAACAATGAGAACACAAGCACTCTTGATTCCATTTAAAGTGATGTCATTACTTCCTTGATCTTGAAACTGTTTAATGCAATCAGCAGACTCCCTAATTATTGGAAAAATAAACATACTGATGACTTTATTAACAAGGAAATACCATTATTTAAATAGTATTTGCATGAATGATACTTATTGTCTACAGGAACAAACAGCAATCTCAATCATATCACCTGAGCTGGATGGTGATTGTAAACAAACACTGATTGATGCAGCAGTGTGTCTAAAGAGCAAGGCCTTTTCTGAGTATTTCCACAGTTGGATAGTAAATTATTACATTGACTGGAATGAATCTGTAATAAACTTGATAGGAGCACCTCCTCCATTTTTAAACGACACCCGACCACGTCCTCTTTGCTCTTGTTGGAGGCATCCATCCCAACATTAGGGAAATTGGACCCCTGTCGGGAAAATCTTGGCTCCACCTCAATTTTGGAGTTGTGCATAAGTTGTGGGCTAACAAGTCTGGGACGGAGAATCTCTAGCACCATCACCACTAACTGTGCAATGGCAGGTCTACTTAGCATACAATACATTACAGTAAAATTGAGATCTTGTGTATGAAAGTACATGGATGTGCATCCTGCAATTGAGTCACTGCTGGGCAAGCAGTGGCATTCCCCTCCCACTCCCGCACCCGAAATTTTCAAAGAAAAAATACTATGCTTAAAGTATAGTTAAATATCACTTTGCATATCACCCTATTTTGCAGTTACTGTAGTTCAACCTCACTAATCATTCAGTCCTCCTAGTTCACCTTTGCAACACATTAGGGCCCCTTCCCCTTCCCCCTATTTCAAGATTTGGAACTGTGGCGAAGATAAAGGGTGAGAAAAGATGGGCAGGAAGAACAACATTATTATTTGTTATACATCATCATTGCAAACAATCTTAAAGAATTTATAATAATCAACCAAGTTTTTTTAGTCATGTTCAATATAGACCCCCCCCCCCCCAATCTCTCATATATATTTGTCTGCAATGCAAGCAGAATACTGTTTATTAAGCACTGCAACAGACCCACAGCAAGTACTGTATGTACTGACTGATATACAGTACTGTATTGTACTGAAAGCAACCCACTGCCATTCTATGCTGGCAGGTTCCTGAAAAATGCACAGATAATTTTAGAATGGAAATCTATTTCAAACAATCATACTATTTTTCATTGTGAATTTAACCTTCGCTATTGGATCATTATTATAAAACAACAGCATTTCCTCGTCTTTTATGCTGATGCCTTGCAGTCTCGCAATGTTTTGTTGACATTCTACACTAACTAAAGTCATGTGACCAATAGCATCGTATAATTTAGAATTCACTGATTTTGTATGGATGTGCAACGATGTGGAATGACTTCCAACAATGTGATTAAAAAAACCCCAATGGGAAAACACTTATTTTCAGCCATTGTGTCCAAGAGTGAAAATAAATAAAACATAAACTGAAAAGATTTACCAAAATTCAGTTTCATTATTACGAGTGTAAGCTAGCTCTACCACAATGACATCTACTGTTTAAATACTACTTTAAACAATTTCCTGGTTTACAATCTCAAAAAAAAAAGATCGTATGAAAGAGGCCTAGCAAAGCTATCATAAATTTATATTATAACATACTGTAGTCAGAGTAGTCACTTTAACTATTCAGTGCGTTTAAGGGTAGGCGCCGTTTATTTTCTCTAAGATAGTGAAGTTTTTTGGTTTTTTTTGAGACCCTGACCTGCAACATTTTCACCCAAAAATTTAATCACCTCTTTCTACATTTTGTGTAAAAATCAAAGATGATTCTACAATATGATTTATAGTCACACTACAACACATTTAAATATATTCTTTAATAATGATTCTAACATTAACATTGCCAAATGCAGCCTTTTCAGCTTTAATGTTCTTAGGCAGGGTTGTAGCTAATAAAAACTAAGGGTGGGGATAGATATTTTGAGGGTGGGTGCGTGATAACCTTGGTAAGTGGGTTAATAAGGATGGGCCATGAAATTAGCTTTAGACTGGGTGGCTCTGCCCATTAAAACTACATTCCTGCTTAAGTTAGTGTTTTACTCTTTACTAAACTTTCATGGGCCCCAACACGTGTTCGCCCCAGGGCCCCACAACTCGCCATTACGCCGCTCTTCATTTCACATTATCAACATCTTTAAAATCAAAATGTAAAAATTTGGAATAATATGGTCTCTTTGAAACCACTGCTTAATTGTGTGCATGGTTTTAGGTAGCTTGTGAATAGAACATTAGTATGTACTGTACTGTGCAGGAGTCAGTGGATTTAATTATTCTGTACTAGACTTGTGTTTTAATTTAAAAGTGTAAAATTATGTTATCTCCTAAAGTTTAACTAATTGTAGAGAGCACAATCAAATCTCATTAGGCACGTTCAGACAAGTCAGAAGTACAGTTAGCACTTTACTTGTCGTAAGCCCTGGGTAGTGCCTGTGAAGTCGCTCTTTGTATTAAGTTACTTCAACCTTTTTTCAGACAATTTACACTCCTGAGCAGTCTCAGGAGTGAATGCGCTCCTTCCACGTACACATGGAAGATAGGGAATACACGCTCCAAGTAGCGCTGTGTAGACGCACTTACTTCAGAGCTCGCAAGTAAATGTAACCTTTATTTTGACCTCAAATTTTTACAAAAGATAGATACATACAAATTAGTACCAAAATAACATTTCCTGTGATGTGTAAACCTTTGTAGAAATGTTTCCATTGTTTACAATTTTCAGAGTTTGCGTGCAAAATAATCGTTGAGCGAAAGTGGTGATTATTCTTCTGAAAAATTTGCATAGTTACTTCTAAGCTTTGAACTAGCTTTGAAATATGTAAGTAAAAACTATTATGCCCTGGGTAAGCATCGTGTGGACACTCGTCGGATGTAACATGTGTGTAAAATATTACGTTGTCATAACTTTACTTCAGACGGAAAACCGTCTGAACATACTGTAACTATAAAATGTGACGAACGACAAAAACTTAAAATTAAATTTTACAATGTTTTGTAGTGATAACCATAATTTTCTGTACGTTTCATCAGTTGGTAATACATCCTTTAGCTTGGTTTTTGACTTGGTTTAAACCCATTTTCTACAATCCATTATAGGCCTATAAGTAAACATTTTACCATTTGATTTTTTTTCTGTTTAACCACCAAATAGTAAATTTGATGTAGAAAAGATTCTAGAAATTTTAATGGTTCCTACTCAGTGAAATGCATCATTCAAAACTTAAAATAAAAATATTGTATTTTAAATAAATATTAAGCTGTACTGTATTTCAAATATGGTGACAAAACCATTTCCTCTTTTATGCTAGCCATACTGTAGGCTTCTCTCTATGGTACAAACCTAGTGTATTGGCCATACACTATGCCATCCTATATTTATGATAAAATATATAAATAAAAGTATATACATTAAAAATCTGCTGTATATGCTTCAAAGGAGTCACTTTCTGAAGAATGTTATTTCTTTTCTGTCCACACACTTATATCATAGGATTAATCATTTATATACAAATACATAAATTTCCATGTAATTTTAAATGATTCATAAATTGTACCACATTTTATAGGCTTATGTTGCAATTGAGATTTACTGTAGTCTGCACTGAATACTGTACATAATAAATTCATAAAAGGAAGCGATTCATCCCTAATCTGCGGGACTTACATCAAGTCTAAATTGCTTAAAACATTTCAAGTTTCTATTTAGCACACTGCAACTCCCATTGGAGGAACATACTCCTTCAACCTGTGTATGAATTTCGATGAACATGCAAGAATATGTGTCATCCACTTAATTTAATAATTAATAGCAACCGCTCGTTCACTTATATTCTACTTTGAATTCCCTGACAGCTTGTTTTTAAAGTACGCAAACCTAAATTGTGTGTTCCTTCCTAACACTTTCTCTAATTTGTACTGCTACTATTTTTGTCAATGAACTTTACGTAGAATATTTAGGGATTTTTAAAACGGGCTAAATATAGCTCATGTGGGCACATGGGGGTAGGCAACTGTCACAGAATGTTTGTCCTTTACCTGTACTTTCTCTTCTCAACATTACTAATGGTTTGTACTGTACATCTAAGTTGATCTCAATGTTTTGAACTACGTATAGTGGGATAAGCGATGCGTTTTGTTTTGTTTGAAGGTTTGCTTGCAAACAAAGTAGTAACAATTGTTTATTGCTTTTTCCCTATTGGACAAAATAAATTCTGAATCTACTGTAACTATGTGGTGTAAGTACTACAAACATAGAGTATACTACTGTATACGGTAACTATTTGGTTTTGTAAACGTAGACTACAGTACAATAAATTATTCTACATAAAATTGTTCCCTAGCTAGCCAAATCTGACTGGGAATTTTAAACTGTATACAGTAATCTATTTGGGGGAAGGGGTGGGTTTATGAAAGTTCCGTTTTTTATTTATTTTTAATATTTTTGGTAAGTTTACATTTCTCACTTTCATATATTGTACTTCGTCTCTTGTTTGTACTGTACATTTTTATAGAAAGCAATTTAATTAATAATTACTATCCAAGCCAAAGATAGTCCTGCCTACAGCAGGCCTGCGAAATCTAGTGGAAATTCCTAGTTTAAGATATTTAATTTTCTTTTAACATAACTTTTTTGAATATTAAGTTATCAACATAAAATGAGATAAAAAGTTTAAAAATTGATTTTACCAGTCAATATAACAACCAATGCAGGGAATATTATAGGAATGTTGTTATTTACAGCACAACTACAATAATTATGGAGGGGGAAAACAAGCTAATAAATTTAACTAAATAAAAATCAATTAACGATTGCATTTTGTGTTTGACATTTTTTTAAACACTCAACACAGACCTAGGTGTTTGTTCATGTTGTATTGTACTGTAAAATAAAATTTTCTCACCATACACAAATGGATCCACACTCATAAAAAAGATTATCTAAAAAAAAAAATGCAAATTTTACCAGCTATAAAAATATATAATCCTTAAAATTAGTGTTAGAGTGCACCCTCACTATTCTTCCCGAGAATACTGTGAAAACCCTTGGTTCTCCAATTTGTAGACTGGGGTCCATATTTAAGTTGATTAAAATGACGCGGTCTCACACATGTGTTTACAGGTAGTTGGGGAATGCTGCTGGGTTGAGTCCTTGCGTGGTGACTTACAGTATCATTGTTTTTGTGACACAGAGTTTGGATGGGTTTTGCACTTTGTTTTGGGGGGTTTGCGGGTTTTAGCACTTTTTTTGTACAAAAAATGGCATTTTTAACCCAAAAATAGGTTGTGACGAACATAAAATTAAGACTTTTTTTTATTGAGATACCAAGTTGAGTCCTATACTATGTGATTCAATCATTATCACAGGGTTTGGATGGGGTTTGCGGTACATTTTGGAGGTTTGCGGGGTATGCGGGGTTTAGCAATATCCGCTTTGTCCAGACTTTATACTTGGTTTATTTTGCCAAGGATAGTATAGTAGCTCTAAGCATGTTTTATTTTATCGTTATTTATACATTATATTAGCTAGGCCTATACATAAATATTATATAATATACGTATCATGTATTGATTGTTATATTGTTATCAGTAGTAAATAGTAAAATAATTTGTGATGTAAAGGTATTAATTATAGGCCTAGGCTTATTAATAAAAAAAAACTCTTTACATTATTGTTGTTAATAATATAAATTTGTAATAATACAGTAATAGAATTTCCGTTTGATGTTAGACTAATTGTTTACTAAGACTAAAAAGGTAAACTAAAAAGTTTTACTATTCGAATGTCTTTGTTTTGCTCTTTGTTTTAGGTTTAATTCTGCTATTAAGAATTAAAGAGACAACAATTTTAAAAGTTTGCAAGTATTCTCATTGATCGACTATAATTCAACATAGGAATTCCGGTTACATGTATTTTTTAATTGTTTTCAATTTACTGATCAGAAATTGGTTGTATTTTTGTTTATTTCGCATTAAGTTTTAGTACCGCCCATGCTCTGTTGATAGGCCAATTAAATTTCAGGCAACTTGTAGCAAAGTATCTCTAATGTATATCACTCACGCATAATTTATTAAACACGAATATTTCTTCCACTCCTGTGGACTTCATCGGCGTGAGTGGTATACATTAGAGTACTTTTAGCAGAAACGGGACGCTGGATTTCAGATACCGTCTTTCATGCGGTATATTTTATACCATATATCTTTAGGAAAAGCAGCAGAAACAGGCCCTAAATGGTATTCGTTTCTTATTATTTCTTATACATGAAGAAGGTTTAGATTTTATCTATTATATTATGATATATATATATATATATACATATATATATATATGTACACATAGTGTATATACACAGTATAAAGGAATATATATATAATATATAATATAATTATATATATATATATATATATAATATATATATATATATACCGTAGTAGTATAACTCATTAAGCATTGTCATGATTATGTCGTTATTATTGTCAACATATCATTATTATTAGTTATATTATCCCTTTTTATAATTATTGTTATTAATATTATTTTATTAATGCAGTTTTAATTATTGTAAGTGGATGTAAATGAAAAGAAATAACAAAGGCAACGATATACAGTAAAACACTTTAATTTTGGCTTTGCATTCAAACCTCTTTTGGTAAGTATTCAGTAAATACCCATTAAATTGGGGCCGAGTTGACTCTTGGGGACAAGTTGACTTGGGGCCAAGTTGACTTGGGACCGAGTTGAATTGGGGCCGAGTTGACATGGGGCCGAGTTGACATGGGACCGAGTTGACATGGGACCGAGTTGACTTGTGGCCGAGTTGACTTGTGGCCGAGTTGACTTGGGGCCGAGCTGACTCAAATTCCCGTAAATCTATTGACTAGTTACGGCCACATAAATAAGTCCCATGCAGACTTCTTACTTTACTTCTACTTTAACTATAATCTTCTAAATGTATACTTACTTATGAAGTGGTGTGTCTCTCCCTGTTTTCATAGTTGTTGGTGGAGGAGGATCACCTTTGCAGAAGTCCCCCAGACGAGTTGGCAATCCATCTGAAGACTCCTTGTAATGGGATATCAAGTTTTCCAGTCCCGTAAAGGCTGGTCCGCTTTCTATCTGGTAAATGAAATCTCCACAGCAATGAATCTGAAAATGTTGAGGTTGGCCTGCTCTTACTAACGAAAGAACATAGTCGCCAACAACACTTGTACTCTCTCGAACCAAAAACAAACCTTCGGAGTTTCCATTTTCCAATAATATATGGACTGCCGTTTCTCTCGATATTTTACCATGATACCACCTGAGTTTCTTACCGTATTCTAGTGTCCGTGCATGTTCTTGCGCTATGTATTCTCTTAAAGATATATTTTTTGATTCAAGTATATCACTCAATTTTGTGTTGTCTGAGGGTGGTGGTCTAACTTCCGGGTTGTCTTGGCCAAAAAGACAGGGCTGTCTCTGTCTACTCGTTCTGTTAAAACCAGCTGACGACGTATTCATGGTTTAGAATCTAACCCAATATCCAACAGAAAGCACCTAAAATATGAGTTTGTGTAGCAAACCATAAAATACACTACAGTGTTTGTCCATCTGCTACCGGTTTACTACAGAACTCTAGGTTAGGCCTAGCATTTAAACAACACTGCTCGCAAAGTAATGTAAGTTGTTTTTATGTGAAGGCGACAGGGAACAGGAATCGCGTCAAATTACAGATTAGAAAATAATGATGGCGCTATTTTTAAAAACTACCGTAAAACCTTTTTTAGGATGGATTCTTTTCGAGACGGGCTGCATTTGGATTACTTTTGCAAACTAAATAGGGGGATTCTTTTCAATATGAATGCTGTAAATATTTTAAATTTTTTCTATAGGCCTACGACATTGTTTAACTTTAGAAGTCGAAATTATATTTATTTTTTTAATTTCTTTTAACCATGCTAGTACTGAGTACATAAAAAAAACCTGCAATATTGATACTGACAAGATATCATCAAAGATAACGTCAGTCTAAATGTAAGTAGGCCTACTCTCTTAAAAAGTAGCCCAATACTATCTTGGTTATAAGCCCACTGACATTGTTTTTTCAAGATTACTTTTGCAAACAAAAGAGAGGGCCTTCTTTTCGAGATGGGCTTCTTGTCGAGGTTTTACGGTATACACTAAAAACTGGTCTAATGAACAGCAGTAAAACAATACAAACAGTGTTTGCTTAAAGATGTATTTCCCACATGCAAAATATCAAAATGATTAACCTGCTCATTTTTAAGTTAAAAAAAATCAACTTGAACATAGAAGTTAGTGTATTAAAAATGTTTACACAAATAGAAACACGTCGAGCCACTGGAAGTGCAATTTTATTATCAGTATCCAGTATATGCCTACACTTTTTATTCAGTTAAATTTTTCTGTGACCAGGTTAATAATGTGTTACTGCAAAATGAGCAAGTTAATTTATTTTATTTTATTTGTTAATGATTTTTTGTCATTTTCAGGGGACAATACAAATTTAAGGAGAGGTCGTATCTGTTTCACTTTGCAAACACTGCATCAGCCGGAACATAGAAGATTCTTGAATCGAATCATGTGAAACAAACTTTACCAGTAGTTGACCCTCTCTGTCGTTATTAGCTAACAGTTATATTGCTTGGTTTGTTTGCTTGCTAGTTTTGTTTTTGTTCTGTTTTTGTTTTTGTTTTTTTGTTTTTTTGTTTTTTTTTTTTTTTTTATAGGCCTATGTATTTTTGCTGGAACATGAATGAATGAATTCATTCATTCATTAATGAGAGAGTGGACTGGAAATTTGGACTGGAAATTGGGAACAACTTTCAACCGCAGTAATATCACAATTGTAACCAACATTTCAGGAAAATGGAGATAAGCCAGAAGAATTCATTGTAACATATTTCTATTCCATATTAAATCTGCTCTTTGGAATCATTGGCAGCCACTTTTTAAATTTAACATGGTGGTAGATTGCAGGTTGAAAGTCGCATCTACAATTATTAATTCAGCTTCTAGCGTATACTATGAACAGATTTCTTTGTCAGGAATCCAGGATATTTCCTTTTATTTCTTCAAACGAGGACACAAAAAAAAAATGACACAAAAAAAATGACACCAAATTTCAGCATGCATACGATATATAAAACAGTACTACTCTAAAGCGAATTATACTGAAAAAATACATGACTTAATACTGTTTGTGAAGTGTGACTAAAGATACTTGATAGTGTTTGTCGGTGTAAGTCTACGTTCATTATACACACAAAAGAAAAGTCTTTTATTCATCGTGCTAGCCATATATATATAAGATGTGTATAAGAGACAGGGAGGAGGATCACCTTTGCAGAAGTCCCCCAGACGAGTTGGCAATCCATCTGAAGACTCCTTGTAATGGGATATCAAGTTTTCCAGTCCCGTAAAGGCTGGTCCGCTTTCTATCTGGTAAATGAAATCTCCACAGCAATGAATCTGAAAATGTTGAGGTTGGCCTGCTCTTACTAACGAAAGAACATAGTCGCCAACAACACTTGTACTCTCTCGAACCAAAAACAAACCTTCGGAGTTTCCATTTTCCAATAATATATGGACTGCCGTTTCTCTCGATATTTTACCATGATACCACCTGAGTTTCTTACCGTATTCTAGTGTCCGTGCATGTTCTTGCGCTATGTATTCTCTTAAAGATATATTTTTTGATTCAAGTATATCACTCAATTTTGTGTTGTCTGAGGGTGGTGGTCTAACTTCCGGGTTGTCTTGGCCAAAAAGACAGGGCTGTACAATATATATACATATATATATATACATACATACATATATATATATATATATATATATATATATATATATACGGTATATATATATATGTATACAGAAATTTGAGTATCATTTTTTTTATCTCTATTGTTTTCACAAATTTTACAAACCTAGGGAGCCCTTAATCCGTCACGGGTTATAATATGATACATGTCCTACAGTCGATCTCAGAGACACATTATTCTGTTATATGAATCAACAAAGATCGTTTGAGTCAAGGTGCTAGATCGAGGACCCTATGGGTAGGAGTCCGGGCCCCTAGGAATCGGGGCCCTGCGGACCGCCGCACAAGAGCACGTAGGCGCTATCTACACTCTTTGAAATATAGCTGAAAGAGCAATGGAAGTTAAACGAGATCTGTACCTATTCTTTATTGACTTCACGAAAGTCTTCGATACAACTCAAGGTTAATTTGAAACGCTATAAAACCTCAACATATAAAGATTAATAAATAATTTGAAATACCTATATTGTCAACAAAGAGCAGCCATATGAATTAACAATGAAATTGGAGGCTACGAACCAATAAAGAGAGTCATAAGACAAGGCTGTAACCTGTCTCAAGACCTGTTCTCTCTATACAGTGAAGTCATTAAGAGGAATATCCAAGATCCACCAGGAATTGTAATTGACGGACACATCTTAAAATCCTCCGCTATGCTGATAACACTGTACTGATGGCAAGCAGTGTGGAAGATTAACAGAAACTAGTATCCGTCATAAATGAATAAAGTGAAACAAAAAGAAATTAGTAATGCCACGGTGTAAGATTATGCTTGGAAATTAGTTTTTTAATTTATAGTTTAAAGTATCTAGGGACCATGGTAAAAATGAAACGGATATAAAGGCAAGAAAAGCAGTAGCAAGAAAAAGTTGAATGAAAAACATACTAACGAATATAAAACTGTCATTAAGCACTGGAATCAAAACTCCCCAGTGTTACATAATATCGATATTGACGTATCGTTACGAATCATGGACGATCACTAAAAAAAAAAACACGGAGATCTGAACCAACGCTGCAGAAATGTGATTCCTACGCAGAATGTTGCGAAGATCTTACTTGGATAAAATAAGAAATTATTAAACAACATAAAATAATATTAATCAAGGCTCCTTGGACACGTCATGAGAAGAGAGTCGTTGGAAAATTTAGTTACAGGGAAAATTGAAGGGAAATGAAGTCGAGGCAGACAAAAAATGAAATGGATAGATAGGTTGACATCCTGGTTAGCATAAGCGGAGATCCCGGGAGGATGGGGGATATATCCCCCCAATATTTGACAAGGGGGGATGGTCCATTGTATCATCCCCCCCCCCAATATTTTGACTGTGTATGGGATAAAATGGAGCTTTACACACTTCAAAAGACAGAAATAATTTGCACTATCTTATGCGCTTACAGAGATGAAAATTAGCATAATGTATTATTAATGTTGATAACAAAATTATTTTATCTGGTACCAATCTAAGCTCTTCTTTCCTTAGATGTTAGATGTGCTTGCAAAGAGAGCCGCATTTCACACTGAAGTGTGTGTACGACATCAGTGAATGTTATGTCAATTCCAAGAATACTTAAGGTTTTATCGGTTGATGAGGAATTTATTGATTAGGCCTATAATAGCAAATTGCATCAATTTATTTTGCAAAAACAAGGTTTCCAGCTTCAGAGGGGGGCACATCCCCTGTCCGCATAAGGGCACACATTGGCGCTAACACCAGGCGCGTAACAGGGGTCTTGGGTCAGAGTGGGTATTTATTTTTTTTATTTTTTATTTCAACCATCTTTAAAGAGGGTAACCCTTGTAGTTTAGCCCAGTAGGTTAACTGATATTCAGGAGCCCTCTTTAATAAAATTAAAATACAGTACAAACAACATCATTACAACATAATAATAACAATAATAATAATAATAATAATAATAATAATAATAATAATAATAATAATAATAATAATACTGAAAAAAGAAGGAAAACGAAAAGAATGATATCCCAGAAAGCCTCAAATGTTATTTTCGGGCGTCTAGAACACAAAAATTTCACGGGGGCATGCCCCCGGACCACCTAGGACATTGTTGTCTCGATCGGCCCAAATTTCGGCCCCCACCCTTTTGGACATCTCTGGATTCGCCCCTGCTTTCAGAGGATGCATTTGTCAAGGGGTGGAGAAAGATTTTCCAAAGATGGATATTTTTCCCCTTGTCCCCCTGTGTTTTTAATTTTAATTTCGTTGGAATTGATCAAAACTCCCTAAAATGTGCAATTTTTTAGAGGAAATTGGGCCATGTTAACAAGAAATGCGCGAGAAATTTTAGGTTTTTAGGCACCTTCAGGGGATGAAAGGGCATTTATAAAGGGGTGGGGAAGATTTTTCAAAGATAGATATTTTCCCCTGCCCCCCCCCCAGTGGTTACGCCATCGGGCAGCATAGATCAAAGGAGTTATGACAGTTTTTGAAGTGGAGAAGGGGTTGCAGGGTGTTGTGAGTCTGGTCATTATGATCTTCCTTTTTATTCTTGTCCTTATTTTTCTCTTCTCTTTTTCTTTCCTTTTCGTTTCTTCTTCTTTCTCCTTTCCTCTCTCTCCCCTCTTTCTTTTCTCTTATTACCCAGCCCGGTACGGCGGCTTGGTCAGCCCGGTAAAAACCATCCCCTGCCCCTCCCCCTCACGCCTGTTACGACACTGGCTAACACGCCAATCATCCCTCCCAATGTAAAATATTTTTCTACGCCACTGGTTAGCAACAAAGAAGGCAAAACTCAATATTAAGAGGGCTAGTAACTGTATGAGATAGAGTGAAATGATCTTCTACACTGAGTGGCATGGCACATGAGAAGTACTTGAAGTACTGTAAGGTTTTAATTTGCCCAATATTTATACTTAAAT